TTATCGGATCCCCTTAATAATCCTCGTTTAGGAAAACGAGGCAGCACATCACGCCAGAGGAGGCCGGCGGCGGCGCTCTCGGCGCGCGCCCATGTGTGCGTCGATGCGGATGCGTGGGTGGGCGCGCGCCGGACGAAACCTGATTGCCGAGCTCCTTCTGGAAGGATAATATTACAAAGCAGAGTCGTTCTGGCAGAGCTTCTAGGACTTCTGACACAAAGTGGCCTTTTCTGGACAGCGAGGAAAGCTACTGATCAACGCTGGGCCGTCCTCTTGGCGCAGACTGATGCTGAGGAGGAAGCTGGGCCCGACTGGAATTTGGGTTGGATTCAAAGGAAAAGTTAAAAGTTTGGGGGGAGCAGATGCTCAGCTGGTGCAAATCAGCAGAGCTGGGCTGAGCGCGTGCAGCCACGATGGTGCCGGGATGTGCCTCGCCTGGGACCCCAGCGGTCCCCAACTGCTCAGGTTTGACCTCGGCAGAAGGGACCTCCAGCTCCTCCGCACGGCTTCAACGTCTCTGAGGAACCCCAAATGCATCCAAACAATTCCAGTTCCAAAGCAAACGGATTGGGTCAGTTTGGTCAATTATTTTAAAGATTACATTGACGTTGCTGCTTCAAGTAGATTGATTTTCTTAACGCAGACCTAATTTTAAGACGCACTCAAAGCTTGGAGGGGCATGTTTAAACTGAAGGCTCTACCTGAGCTGAGTATGACCTGGAGAACGGCAGGCCAGCCATGGGGACCTGCTACTTGCAGGTCTGCTTGAGGCTCTTAATACACTCTACCTTATTTATATGGCTCCAAATTCTTATGTTAGACATAAACATCAAAAAGCCTTAATAAACGTGACATCTGAAGCTCAATTTGGCATGTTGTTAGTGGGCTTGTTCGGTACAATAGCTTGCATCTGCTCTTGTGAAACCAGAGGACAGCTACTGAAAGTAAATTGAACTTTCCACTTTTAAAGAGTTGGTGTTTAAAATGTATTCAAGCAGTGATCCTAACAGAGTTTGCCTTTTTAGTTTCCCTATTAAAAACACCGAGAAATGTGTGAATCAGCTGCACACCGTGGAAAAGCGCGCGGCAGGGGAGAGCGCTTGCATGAAGCACAGCAAACCTAAGCAAACCAAGGCACTCCTGAACCCCAGCCCACATAAAAAGCAAGTTAAATCACCTCAAGCTGTTCAGATGCAGCTCTGTGCTTGGGCATCTGGCAGCAGAGTGAACAGAACTACCTGCTCTTCACGTTGCACTTTTTCTGCAGGCTTCTCCCACACGTTTTGATGGGTGAGCAGCCACACTTCCAAGCAGCAAGCCAACCAAGTGTCGGCAGAATACTGTCAAATATAATCTGGAGATTTTTTCTAAAGCATGCTGATAAAAGTAGCCCTGTGGGCAGCCAAACAAGTGTGCTCAGAGCTCGGCTCCGGGCCTGTCCTTGCCCCGCTCACCCTGCAGAAGAGGGACAGAAGCTACTAGGTTAATTTGTCGCCCCTTCGCCTTCCCCAGCACGACCCGCTTTTGATGGAAACACAAGAGTTGGCGTTTTGGGCAGATATGGAGAAAGTCACTGAGCAAAGAAATAACAAACAAATACCAGAAAAAAACAAAAAAAGAAAAAAAAAAGTGATGAATTTTAGCTGTGTGGGTATTCTTGGAAAATAGGAAAAAAAGTCTCTCACAGAAAAAGGCATCAAATAATTTGCTTCCTGGAAACAGCCGTTTTCCTGAGGTAAAGCTTAGCTGCCATCAGCCAGAGCCCGACGTTGCAAAATTCTCTATTTTTTCACAACAGCAAATGGTTGCAACCACTGATTTCTGTCAGCACGGAAAACTAATTCCTGCCTCACTGGCACATGGGGCAGAGCATGTTCAGACCACAAGGAATTGCTGTGATGGGAACTGCCTTGGAGAAACCTCCATGAGGCAGAAGCAGAAGCGAAGCAAAGCCCAGGAAAATGCAGCTTCTACCTTTTTCTCTGCACTTTTTTACCACACCATCCTTCTTGTTCTTCATGGAAGAGCAGACAAGCTGTACATAGCAGCATCCTTACGGGAAGGCCATGTGTTTGGAGGTGGGGTTCTGCAACAACCTGAACCAGGTCTCCCTTTTGCTGCAACGGTAGCATAGATGTTTTTTCCACTTGCAAAATGCCTCCGATTTCAGATTTTTCATACTATTAACTTTCCGCCAACAGATTGTGCATACAATATTTAGCAATAACAAACAGAGCAAGATAAAAACCGCTGCAGCTTGAGAAGGGAGCTCAGGATATGATTCCTCCTCACCGGATGCCTGGAAGATGTCACTGAAATTCTCTCTCTCTCAGTGCAACCCGCGTGGAGCCAATATGAACTCCCAGCAAAGTGCTTAAAAACCCATTATTTATAATAACTGTTAAATGATGAGACATTGTTTACCCAGATCGCAAGATAAATTCTCACTTACAGAATGCTTGCCTGACTGTCCTGAACGTCATCTGGTTTTTATTTAAATGCAAAATGTAATTAGGCTCCCAATAACACAGCAGAAGAATTCAATAAGATGGGGCTTTTCACTTACAGTTTAATATTAACATTTTCCCATAAATGTTAATGAATCAAAGTCTACTGTTTTATATATTATCCATGGTGGGGAAACAGCAGGCGAGGCAAGGAGGGAAAGATGATATTTTCATAGCACGATTTAGAATATGTACTGCAAGGAAAGCCACCTGCACTAAGCACCCCTAAGACCTGCTTTTTTTTTCTCCTTTTTCTCTCCTTTTTTTTTGCCTTTTTCCTCTCCCCCATCCTGCATTCCACCTGCCCCTCTCCACTAGACACGCTCCACGTATCAGATAGCTGACGGCAGAGCTGTTAAACAGGGATGTGGGCCCGCAGCCCTGATGCTCTTAGGCTCCAGCTTGGATATCAGGGCGAGATTATCAGACAAAAATCAGGTTACTGTTAGTCTGAGATCGTCCTCGAGAAATGAACGGGGGTGATCGGAGGCGCTGGCTTTGTCACAGCCGAGGCCGCAGCCTCCTGCACCGCAGCAGGAACCCGCGCGGCACCCGAGCACAGCGAGGATGGCTCCGGGGTAGGTGGCTTTGGTGGCACTTCAG